ACATGCCTTGCGTACTTGGCGCTGCATGATCAAAGGAAAACCGTTCACTGTATTCACCGATCACTTACCACTCAAGTATTTTCGCAGTCAGGTTAAGCCCACGCCTCGCCTGATAAGGTGGATTTCTGAATTCGAGCTGTATGACCCGATAATTCAATACAAACCAGGCAAAGACAATGGTGTCCCTGATGTGCTCTCTCGTCTCGATGGCCCAGAATACGATGCAACATTAATTAAATCAATGGAACCAGAATACCTGTACACCATACCAGACTCACAAACGTCCGACTGGCCAAAATTTTATGCACGAAAAGAAGATGAATGGCCAGAAGACATAAAAGAATTACTCCATCGGCAACGCAATAAGTTTGTGGTCCACGACCAAAAGGTTTTCCGTCTCGTTAAAATAGGTGACACGGTACAAGAAATTCGTTTTGCACTGTTTGCCAAGCGTGCAGACTTAGTAAATAATTTCCACAATGGTTTCGGACATGCTGGAGAAACAACGGTGTATGATTTAATGAAGAAGCGTTGGTGGTGGCCAGCCATGAGAAGTCAAATTCAAGAATGGTTATCGAAATGTCATCAATGTCAATTGGCCTCAAACGCAGAACGCAACATACACCATGCCCCTTTGGAACCATTGGATATCCCCCCTGCTTTCTCTCGTTGGCATCTCGATTTCATTGGAGAACTTCCCACTACAATCAACGGAAATCGATGGATTTTGGTTGCCGTCGACTACGCTACGAATTGGCCAATTGCACGTGCTGTTCCTGCTGCTACGGGCGAAGCCATCGCCAACTTTTTGTACAAAGAAATAGTCATGCATTTTGGTTGCCCAGACGAAATTCTGACAGATCGTGGTGCAAACTTTATGTCACATATTTTGAGCTTTTACATTAAGAAAATTAAGCTCCATCATAAATTAACCTCAGCATTTCACCCACGTACTAATGGAAAATGTGAAAGGTTAAATGGTGTTCTTAAACAGATGTTACGTAAATATGTACATGGTGCCATTCACCGGTGGGACGAATATCTGGAAACAGCACTTTGGGCTTGCCGAATCAGAAAGCATCGTACAACTGGGTTCAGTCCATTTTTCTTGACTTATGGCCGCGAACCTCGTATTCCTGGCGATCCCCTACGTCCATTTATGGATACATCTATCCCTGACGACCCGACCCTCGTATCCGATGGCGCTATCCCTTTTCTTCATAATCTCCAACAGGCTCGCAAAAATGCTGACGCTCGAGTAACCGCCAACAGCCAACAAGACAAGGAACGATGGGATTCGATCATGAAACCTCATCAGTTCGCAATCGGTGAACATTTGTTGTTGCGGCATGAAAACAAATTTGGACTAGAATATAACTGGATGGGCCCATATATTGTAGTAGATAAAAATTTCGATAAGAATATATACAAGCTCACAACAATGGAAGGTGTCCCTTATACTTCTTGGGTTCATGCTGACCGTCTCAAAATAGCCAAATCCAACGATTTCGACCACACCTGGTATCACCTGACCGCTGCTCGTAACAATATGCGACGTGATCTGGCCATAGATTCCTCTTCCACCTTGCCGTTCTCGATGATAGAGTCTACCAGAGTTGACCGAGGACGATCAACAGTTTCGAGAGGGGGTGATGTCGGACATTATTTTGATGAATCCGAGAAATCGGGATAATTGACCGCAGCAGTTCTGTATGTCAAAGATACCTCATAGATAACGAACCGCAGTAATGTCTTGTAAAGATTAACCACAGTAACATCTTCTGAGCATCAACCGCAGTAAAAGGACTTCTCTTGTAATTAAATAGAGTATAATAGTTTACTGCGGATAATGCGCAGTATTAGTTTAGAAAACTATATAAGACAATTCAATTTCTATCAATAAAAGGCATCTTTGATCCTCTCTTTGATTTTACGTATACTCCTTGATCCCCAGTGGGTTTGACCTTTTGACTTTGTTATAGTAAAAGGAAGACCAACCCAGATCGGGAACGACAGTGTTGTGCTTGATTTTTGTGTAGGACATTATTTTGATGAATCCATAAAATCTAAAGATAGTTAACCGCAATATAATGACTATTTCTTTAATTAAATATAAATAATAACTACTGCGGATAATGCACAGTATTAGTTTAGAAAATTATATAACACAATTCAATTCATATTAATAAAAGGTATTTTTTATTCTCTCTTTGATTTTATGTATACTCCTTGATCCCCAGTGGGTTTGACCTTTTGATTTTGTTATAGTAAAAGGAAGACCAACCCAGATCGGGAACGACATTTGTAATATAAGTTCTAGTGACTTGTTACAATAAAAGAAGCATGAATTAGAATGATTATTCATCAGTTTGTAATTTTAGAAATTTGTAATCAGTTTATAATTTTTAAGTCTCAGTCTGGTATTTCTTTTCTGGCACTTGTAACTAAGTTGCAGAATCAATTCCACTGGGGATCGTTAAGTTTTTAAGAATAGTTTTTAGATAAGAAAATGAAGATGCTTTTTATTAAATATATTTCTTGACTATTTATAAAAAATGATAATTGATTTCTAGCTAAAAGAATAGCTATGATAATATGTCTTAGATGCCTTTTGTCTAGTAATATCTTCTACAAGTATATTCACTATCTTAAACATCTAAAACGTATATCAAAGACCAATTGGCAAAAGTCAAGATCTTTTATCCTAAAAAGTCAACCATTACTGGTTGCTTGCAATTCCCGATTTTGGACACCGATGTCAACTCTGACAGGTTAACCATCTCCAAAATTTATGGATTCATCAAAATAATGTCAGACATAAAAGTTAAAAAATGATTTCTGCCAGACTTGAACTGGCGACCGTCTGTGTGTTAGACAGACGTGATAACCAACTACACCAAGAAACCACACACTCTCTTCCACAACCAAATTATTTTTTAAAGTCAAACCCAGCACAGTTTTACTTTTACCTCTTTTTCTCTATAACTACTATATCAAACCTATCTGTTTTTTGCAGCAGGATTGATTGTCATAGTTGTTTTTATATATCTACCAATTTTCATTTTTTTTAATTGACTTTTTTTCAAATTGTTGGAATCATCATTGCAATCATCTTCACATCTGCGCCGAAATCACTCAAGATTGTCAGCATCTCCAACTACATCTCGATTGCCTGTACCTCTGTTATCGTCTCCAGCTCTTTTCTCCTTCTCTGAAGGTGGTTCTGGTGTTTTACCATCAACTTCGCACTTTTTTGTCCCAGTTTCAGACCTTTCTTTTTCTGCTTTGCCTGCTCCTGGTTCCCACGAAATTTTTTTTCAAGCTCCTCCAACAATGATTGGTTCCCAAAAACAGGTGATTAATTCCACTGGCCGCCCTACTCCCACTGCTCTCATTTTGTCTGGCCTCAAGGCAGACTTTAAAAAATTGCACAATGTTTTGTCCTGTTCACATTGCCAGACTACAGGCAAAATTGTTTCTAATGGGTCTACTTCTCGTACTGGTAGCCCACAGTTTAAATGCAAATGTGGTGCAACATTTACTGCTTCATCCATGCAATCTTTGATCAATGCAGTCCAACACAAAATTCCTGAAGTTCATTCTGCAAGTGAGCCTGTTGTGTCCCCTTCTGTTTCCATCTTGGGTCATAGTATTTCCATGGCAGATATCCATGAAATTGAATCTGACATTGCACCTGTTCTTCCAACTGTAATGCCCACTCTTCAGGATATTTGGGACCGTTTCCAGGCTTATGATGAACGTCTTTCTGCATTGGAGGCTGTTCAAAAAGAGAACATTGAGTTGCGTAAGGCTCTTGCTACTGCAAACGCCACTATTGCACGTTTGACAAAGGAGAATGTTGATTTTTCTGTTGGTGCTGCAGCATCCAAATATGCTACTATTGCTGCCTCTGTTCCAGTTGTTTCTCAGGCTGATTTTCCATCACTTCCTGCATCCCCGACCCATCATTCCACTGAACCCACCAAGACTTTCGTTTCTAAAACACCACGTAAAAGGGCTCCAACTGCTAGGGCCATTGCTGCTGTTGTTCGTGGCATGACAATTAAAGAAAATGCTGATCAGGGGTTTCAAATTGTTTATGTACCTAATGCTATCCGTCTCCCCATTAGTACTCAACGTCAACGTCTTAGGAAATTAAAGATAGACAATGCACGTGTGCTGGATCTCCACTATCCTGATCGTAAGGTGATGGGAATGCTTGTGCATAATGAGTATGCTCCTGAGCTCAAGACTATCTTGGCGAGTTATGGTGTTACTACTTTGGATAACTTTGATCCTCTGGACCCTGTTCACCTCCGTGACCCAGCTCTGGCCTCTCTTTCACTTGATGATAGGGCAACAAAAGCTATACATGTTCACAATGATCGTATGCTACGTGCCATTGAATTCATTAGGGCTCCTGTCAAGTTTGCTGTTGCACGTTCCTTTTGCTCTCAGGGATGGATTAGTGATGACCAACTAGCTGAGATTGTTCCCCCACGACCCACCAAAAAAGACTTGGACATCTCTATACATACTGCCAGCATCACCATCCCTTCATTCTCTGATCTATGAATCCAGTAACAATTACATTATGGAATGCAAATGGTCTTGCAAAACAGACCATACCTACGATCCTTTCATATGCTCCACTTACTTCCCTTCTTTTTATCACTGAAACGTGGCTTTTGTCCCCCCATTGTTATCCTACTTCTTGGCAGCAGTACCATACCTATGGTCAGTCTGTCCCCAATGCTAGCCGTGGCTGCATGGGTATTTCTCTTCTTGTAAATCCTTCTTTCCCTTACCCCATTTCTATTGTTCCTTCTTCTTCTCCTTATGTTCTTTCTTGTATTGTATTTGATTGTCTTATTCATTGCATTTATCTTCCCCCTTCTCTTTCTGATGACGATGCAATTTCTATTCTTTATGACCTCCCCCTCTCTTCTTCTTCTATTCCTTCTTCTAACACTATTTTTTGTGGTGATTTTAATTCACGTATGGGATCCTTTCTTGGTGACCATGCTATCACTTCGCAAGGAACTTCTTTTCTTCAGTGGATCCAGGCAACTGGTCTCACTTGTTGGAATGAATTACTTGCATTTGGTATTCCTATCTTTCTTTCTGGTAGCTCTGGTACCTCACGTTCCAGTGTCATTGATTTATTTCTTTCTACGTCCCCCCTTCTCAATCCTTCTATGCAAATTTGTTTTGATCTTTCTTTAGGCTCTGATCACAAAATGGTCAACCTCACTTTCACTCCCTATGTTTTACCTCCCCCTCCCCCTACTAACCATCCGCGCCTACTTTGGAATCTTTCCAAGCTTGCTCAGCCTGACACTCTCAAGATCTACATTGATACAGCTTCTGGGTCATTGGACAATCTGACAGAGCAGTTCAGTGCTTTCCTTTCTTCTTCTCCTCCTCCTGTAGATTCTCTGTGCTCTGCTTTTGCTCAAGCTATCTATGATGCTCTGGACACTGCTGTTGGTCGTCGTACACCACGTATCATGCAAAAGTACTGGTTCTGGTCAGTGGATCTTCAAGAAGCAATGGATCTGAGAGAACGCAGCTACCAACACTGGCGTCATTCTAGTGGTTTGCAGAAGGCTATATGCTGGATGCGCCATCAGGATGCATGTCATGCTGTTAGGTTATCAGTCCAGCATCGTCGATGTGAAACATGGAAAGAATTCTGCAACAAATTGGCAACACAAGACTTTGCAAAGACCACAGCAACAATGAAACGTATTAAAAGCCATCATCAAACCAGTCCTGTCTTTGTGGATCCGGGTGGACCTCAAGTAGCTGCTAACAAAATGGCTGATCATCTTCAACAGATTTTCTCAGGTCAATTTCTTCCTGTACGCCGCCCTCCAGACCAGACAGTGATGATTTCATCACCAATTGCAATTGATGAATCGTGTCCTTTTACTCATCTTTCTGTAGAGAGTGCAATTCTCAAGCTTCCTACACGCAAGGCTCCTGATGTTGACCATCTTCATGCTGAAATGCTTCACCCAATTGTTAAGCAAGTCTCTCCTGTTCTTTGTCTTTTGTTCCAGCTTTGTTGGCAATGGGGTTCTGCACCTCTTGCATGGCGTACTGCACAAATTGTCCCCATCTTTAAAAAGGGTGATACTCATGACCCTGCTAACTATCGTCCCATTAGCTTAACGTCTATCCTGAGAAAAGCCATGGAATATTGTCTACAGTTTCCTCTTGAAGATGTGTCTCCAACAATTGATATTGCACAGGGTGGATTCCAACGTCAACATAGCTCCCTTGATCAAGTTCTTTGTCTCCATGAGATGGTCCATCGTCACACAGCTCTATTCAAAGCACCACCAGTCTTGGCTTTTCTTGATATCAAGTCTGCATATGACACTCTTGCTCGTTCTGTAGTATAGACATTGTTACGTCCTCTTGCCTCTGATGCTATGTTAGCTTTGTTACAA